ACTGCCCAGGAATACAAAGAGCTGGCTGTGAATGAAAATGGTGTGGAAACCATCGCAAGCAGTGAGTACTGTATATTAGTGCAGTTTTCGTATGACTGTGAAAAGTTAATGGCACGAACAAGGTCGTGGCACAGGGATACGCCAGACCAATTACATTGCACAAGAATTTACTCTCCATCCAATCAAATACCCGGAACACGTCATAAACATGGCATGGACACGGTCACACCAAGATCACAGCACTTTTAGACCAATCATATTGCGCGTGAAAAAAATCAGCCAATTAAAATTCTAGAAAGTATCACGGTCACGGCACGTCACGCTTACGGCACTGAGCTTTTCACAGTCATACGAAAACTGCTCTATCAAAGGGTAACATGGTAATAATTACATATAAATCTCAGCAAAACTTTTGACTTTATTAATGCAAGTTAAATAAAATGAATAGATAAAATAAATGAATAAATACAAATAAATAAATAGGATTTAGCAGTTTCTAAAGAGGTTCAACTCACTCATGTATTTTTTATTGAGGTTAAGAATTATATTTAATGGAAGCTTTAGTTTATAAATAAATAAATAAATTTTATGCTGTTTCTTAGGTACTCATTCTGGYGAGGGCAGTAGCGCATATGCAGAATACTACCCGGCGTATAATGGAACAACACAACATGGATCTAGTGAACTTGCAATACAAGAACAAACAGGGGATGTTGATGAGGTGTGTAGGATAAATGAGCCTACTTTATGTACAGTGGCATTGAAAATATTAGCGTGTTGGACAGATAACAGAAAAACCCTGAACGACTAAAATTTCCTCTTAATTGCTTATAATGCATGATATGGGAACTGCATCCTGCAATCCCCTGGCCATGCCACTTTTCATTTAGTATTCTTAACAATATAAAGCCTTATTTTGGTAGTACTGTACTTTTGAGGCTTTACTAAACTTTTTGCCTTATTTTGCCTTTTTGTTGTTTGTTTCCTAGCTTGGCCTGTCCTGGGGTGACAAGATTTCTATGGTAAGCTAGTGAGATCTAAAGGTATCCTGACTATTGCAGGCTTTCATTCATTCCCAAGGGAGTGAAAATAATGACAAAAGACATGGTGGCCATGTTGGTTAATATAGCAAAAGAATTCATTGACAAGCCTTTTGTTAAATTCAACCAAGATAGCRGCTATATGCAAATAAAGAATTCTAAGTATTGATTAAATCAATCAAATCC